TTAATTTAAATTTTTACGTTACCAAAATGATTTTCACACGAATGTTTCAAAGCTGCATTGTCGATTCTGACGACATTATTACGCCGTAACATTCAAGGATGCCAATCGGTGAAAATATATGGATCAGCAGGTGTCTGCGTTCGCGCTGAACTAATAAGATTAGCTGCTAACACACTGAAAAAGACAAAGAGGATTTGTATTCCGTCGCTACTAATACAATCTACAACTGCTCTACGCGAATCGACTGTGTTTATTAATTCGACCAGATGTTTTCTGTTTTTTTTTTCCAGCCCTTTCCGACTAGATTTATTCGCGTTTTCATTCTTTTGACAAGATAAACTAAAAAAAAAACTCTCCCGCGGCCCTTATCTCTTTGGTTTTATCGACTGTATCCACATATTTTTACTCGCTGAGTTTTGCCATTACTTGACTTTGTTTTGAACTTCTTGGATAGATAAAGATTTTTCAGGAAGGTTTTCGTCGACTACTAATTACCCAGAGCGACCAATCCCTGGTTAAGTACTGGATTTTTTACTTTTGCACCAGTGCAAACAAACGGTTGACGACGTTTTTTTTTCTTTTTTTCCCGCGAGTTTGTTTGTTTTTCTCTGATTGTCGATCATAAGTTTTGCAGTTAATCAAAATATCTTATCTCCGGCTTTCCATGAAAGCACAATTTAATAATCGAACACTAAATTGTCGTCCTGAAAAATCGATTTATTTAAACGAATTATTTCATTTTCCCTCTCGGTATTTATCGACCCACCCACGAGGATTGAATGTGGCACAAGGCCGGTTTAATGTGGGTATCTCCGAGTCCGTAGGCTCGGACAAAAATATAGCCTTTAAACCCGTCTAGACGGTTTCAGGCCCTGTCTACCTCCCCGGACGAAACCTTGTCCTTCGGCAAAGCTTCGTCCGGGTTCCTCTCTGCTAACGCAGAGAGTTCGACAGACGTCGCTTACAGTCAAAGACTGTATCACGACTCAGCTAGACTCGGAGATTTTCCCTCTCTCAACATCCCGACCCGCGCTCCAGCCTCAAAATCTAGGGTTTCAACGTTCATATTGTGTGTCATGGTTGTAAGCTCATTTTAAATAATATCTCTCTCTAAAAATAGCGGATTTCATAAACATGGCGCGTTGGTGATGACTTTCGGCGGTAAAAGTAACCCTGCTTGAGTTGAAAAGTGTAAATGCCCACCTCGGCCATTACTTCGCTTTACTTTTGAGATTCAAGATGCATTTGTAGCCATAAACAGTGTGGTCATAGGAATCAACACTGCTTGATGGTGACTGTCATTTTAACCCTTTAAGCGATCACACACACACACACACACAGAGAGGGAGAGAGAGAGAGAGAGAGAGAGAGACGCACATATATATATTGGCAGCATATTTTCATTCAAGCATGTTTGGTTAAATAATTTAGACGTATTATGCCTATTTATTTTAGTTTTAATCCTTTCAACTTCACCAATTAATTTCCTGGTGGCTGTAGAAAATTGATTATGAAAAATTCTAAAACTTTCTTTCAAATAACTTTTATTTTCCCAAGTACTTTCAGACTCCTTTGAAGCCATCTTCAGGAGTTGCATATCTATGCACGTGTTTTGCGTTAACACCGTAACTTCAAAATATTTTTTACATCTATAAAAAGGGGGTAACTTATGTGATTTTAAAAAAAAATTAAAGTTTTTTAATTTAGTATTTTTTATAGTAAAAAAATAAAGGGTAGTTGTTACGTTGTAGGGTACTGCTTATACTGACCATTTCTTGATCATATGTTTCTTCGTCGCCACATGACTTTTGCTCGATGTTGAAAGTAGCAGACGATTCCTTTCTTTACACTGTATGGGTGGCGGGAGATGAAGTTGAGGTATTGTCCGGTGAATGTTGGCTTGCGGTATACGGATGTCTTGAACCCACTTTCTGTTCGAGATATTAATACCTCCAGGAATGCGAGTTTGTTGTTATTTTCTCTCTCCATTGTGATCTATGTCGATGATGATATTGAGTTCACATGGTCCAATAGTAGCTGGACCTCTTCCTGGTGTGACCAGAGAATGAAGGTGTCATCTACGTATTTCAGCCATATGGTTAGCTTTAGTGATATAGATTCTAATGCTATTTCCTTCAAAGTATTCCATATATATGTTTGCCATTGCTGGCGATAATGGCGAGCCCATTGCTAAACCTTCATCCTGTCGATATATTCCGAAGGGTGTTGTTTGGGTATAGAAAGTCAGCATCTCCATCAGGTTATCTGATCCGTTCTCCTTGGGATGAGTCCCAGGCTAGTCTGACCCTGACTATCGATAGCGCCTCTTCTGTGGGTACCTTGATGAACAAAGTTCTCATCCAGACTCATGAATCTGGTTGGATTGGATAGGAGCATCTTTAATTATTTCCACGAAGTAGGCGGAGTTTCGGACATACGATCGTGACTTTCCTATAAATGGGTCAATTATATCTACAAGGAAACGACTTAGAGGGTGGAATACACACGGTCTGAGCGAAATACTCTTTTTGTGAATTTTGTGGAGAGCGTATATATGAGTTAGCTTGGTGTAACGCGATAACTGCCTGTATGTGTTAGGTGGGAAGAGGCCATTGTTCTTATTTAGGATCTGCGTTCTGTTTTCATTGTTAGATCTTTCTTTATTGTAGCTACCATTTCTAATGAGGTCTTCCAGTTTTCCTGTATACTCTGATTTGTCCATCATTACAATCGCATTGCCTTTGTCAGCTGGTAGTATGGTGATATTTTGATTCCTCTGTAGAGTTTTGATTGCCAGCCTCTCCAGTTTCATGATGTTTGATTTGGGTGGCTTAGCTTTCTCCAGTATCTGACTCACTTTCCATCTTAGTTTATCCGGCCGAGCCTGAGGGATGTTCAAAGGTATTTCTTCAATTTGGGCAATGATGTCCAAGTATGATATTCGTCTCATGGATGTAGCGAAGTTGAGACCCTTATTCAGTACTGACTCCTCAAGGACACTCAGCTGGTGTTGACTGATGTCGATTACAGACTTCACTGGGGGTGATGAACCTTGTGTGTCACCTTTTGATCTTTCAACCTATTTAATTTTTGTACTTGGCGGGCATTGACTACATCGAATTCGTGTGTGAAGGATTTATCCAGCACCTGAGGGATCCTCTTTCGGTTTTCTTCATCGGTAATTCTGTTGAAGAAGGCCTCGAGGCTCTGGGAGATATCAGATTGTAATTTCTGTTTTATCCAACGGATACTTTCTCGGACAAGGGCGTGTCCTGCTTTTTCTGCCACCGGACGGACTCTCCTTGAATTGATGGGGAGTCTTGGTGCCAAGCCTGAAGGGATGAGGCATAAGTCTCTGCGTCGGTGTAGGAATGTCAGATGGTTCGAATTCGTGTCAGCTTTTGTTGTCTACATAGTTTCGGTATATCGGGTCCATACAGATCCTTCGAAATTCCAATCACTTAAAGAAGGCCGGAGAATACAACGTCATGAATATGGCAAAAAACATAATCTCAGAAATATAGACATTAATTTCCCTGTTTAAGAAAATAAAAGGCGGGGATAGCAACTCAAACACTAGTACTCACTAAAAAACAACGTTTATAGCAATATTAAGTATAGAAATAATATCAGATAAAAAATCCCGTCAAAAATTACTGTTGTTTACGTTTCAGGTACGAAATTGATGTCGATTACTTGAAGCCCTAAAAGAAGTGTGCTTTTGTTAAATCATATTTATTATAAAACCCAGGTTGTGTGTGTGTGTGTGTCAGTCTGTACGTTTATATATTGGATCGGATTTCCTATATTTTTCAACCGATTTCAACAAAACTTCACAGGACTACGTAAAATTACCTTGCGGTCGTTCTGACAGCGCCAAAAATTGGAAAAACACAATTGTTTTTGCATGAAACCAATTTGAAAACACGATTAAGAGGCATCGCGAGAATGAAAGGGGGACAACTCATATCGAGTTATACTTATTATAAAACCCACGTTGTTTGTGTGTGTGTGTGTTCCTCTATGTATGGGATCGGATGTCCTGCATTTTTCAACCGATTTCAACAAAACTTCAATTTTTTTTTGGCAGGTAGTATTTCTTATTGTCTTGCACACCTTTTTCTTTATTTTTACATTCAGAATGCTTTAAAAATTCCATTTATAAGACAATTGTTTATAATAAAATTCTATTCAATCAGTAGACTCATAACGATTGAAAAAAATGGTTTTGTTTGAGTTTGGGTTTGACCAATTCGTAAAAAAAAAAAAAAAAACTAATTAAGACATGCGTGTCCGTCAACCTTAAACAATAATCTTTGTCAATTTTATTTTTTCAGTCTTTATGATGGTCGATACTTGATCTATCTCTTTGTTGTTACATCCCCGGCAACGCCGGGCTCTACTGCTAGTAGAGAATATATAGACAATGCAAAACTTGCTTTGTCAAGCTGATTTCCTTGAACAAACTGGTAGCGGCCCGCTTATACATACATATATACATACACACACACACACACACACACACACACACACACATATATATATATATATATATATATAATGAAATAGACTAAGTCTGACAATTAATTTATTATATTTTATTGTTATACGTTATTTATATAGACACAAATATTTAAGTAAATACTCTGTTTATAATAAACATTATTAACAACATTAACCGGCCTAATGTCCGAGAAAATGTCAAGGAATTCATGGGAAATTTGTAGTTTAAAAGCAGTAATTCGATCTTGCTAACTAGACGCGACCTTCGTAGCTAAATTAGTATAGCCCGTCAGGCTATATGACGGCTCCATGTAGGATACAGGTTCGATTCCTGTCGGAGGATGAATATTTTCTATGAGATTTCGCGGACATTCAGGCCGGTAAATGTTGATAGTACTGTTTATTATATATATATATATATATATATATATATATATATATATACCTTGTTAGCCAGCCTTCCCTGACAATCCGCTTAGGTGAAAACTTGGTAGTTTTAGTCTGGCTCTCTAGGTTTAAATAGGTCTGCTCTCCTCATTGTATTGAGTACTTTATTTAGTTATTTTGCTTACTCGCATCGGGTTTTTTTTCTTTGGGCCTTGGACTCGTATGCTGGACGATTATTTTCGATTAACCTGCATGTTCTTGGTTCTTTCTTTTTTTATAACTTTTTTTCCCCTTTTGGTATTGGCTTGGCTTTGGTTTACTTGCAAATCAATACACCGAAGGTTTTCCGAGCGAGTATAATTTCTTATACTTATAAGATTTCTATTATTATTATTTATTATTATTATTATTAATAATAATAATAATAATAATATATATATATATATATATATAAACATGGAAAAGTGAGTGTTAGGAAATATTAGCAAAACTTTTATATGCTAATAGAATTATACCACATACATGATGTGGTTGCATTTCGACGTGATGTAATGGTTAACAAGCTTTGCCTCTCTAGACCAATTACAACTAAGTAGTGAGTTCGATCCTCACTGGGTTTCCTATACTTTTTCCTTCGGTCTTGCGCCACATCTAAGCTATGCTTAGAAAATTATCATACACGATGAAGTTTAAAGCAAGTAATTTCCATCGAGTAATATAGATCCCCCCACCAAACCTCGGCAACGATACATGCGTATTAGGATGACAAAGGTTGGTGAGGGTGGACGGCACTTTTCGAGAACAATATGAATGAACAGATATGAGAGGACAGATACAAAGGTCAAATGAGAGGAGAAAAATGAAAGGAAGAGTGAGAAAACGAAAAACCCGGATGATGCCGAGAGGAAAAGTTCAAAGGAAAGAGAAAATAAGCATATAAGAAAGAGAGGGAGAATTTAATAAAGCAAAGCAAACAATTTCATCTTGGAAAGGAAATCTTAGTTTTTATTGAGTCTTAACAACATTTGAAAAACAGATTTTTTCCATTATTCATAAAGTATAAAGTTCTATCAACCATTTTTATTTGTTGATCGGAACTTAATTTTTCGTTTTTTTTTTCTCTATCGCATCTATCATTTCCTCTTTTCTGTTGGTCACTTTTACAATCTCCAATTTTACCAGTTCGTTCAATCCAATTTTATCAGTTCTATCAATCCAATTTTACCATTCTATCAACCCAATTTTACCAGTTCTATCAACCCAATTTTACCAGTTCTTTCAATCCAATTTCTTCATCAGTTCCAATTTTATCAGTTCTATCAATCCAATTTTATCAGTTCTATCAATCAATTTTACCATTCTATCAACCCAATTTTATCAGTTCTATCAATCCAATTTTATCAGTTCTATCAATCCAATTTTACCATTCTTTCAATCAACCCAATTTTTACCAGTTCTATCAACCCAATTTTATCAGTTCTATCAATCCAATTTTATCCAGTTCTATCAATCCAATTTTACCATTCTATCAACCCAATTTTATCAGTTCTATCAGTTCTATCAACCCAATTTTACCAGTTCTATCAACCCAATTTTACCATTCTATCAATCCAATTTTACCAGTTCTATCAATCCAATTTTACCAGTTCTATCAACCCAATTTTACCAGTTCTTTCAATCCAATTTCATCAGTTCTATCAATCCAATTTTATCAGTTCTATCAATCCAATTTTATCAGTTCTATCAATCCAATTTTTTTCATTCTATACCCAATTTTATCAGTTCTATCAACCCAATTTTATCAGTTCTATCAATCCAATTTTACCAGTTCTTTCAATCAATCCTATCAATCCAATTTTACCAGTTCTATCAACCCAATTTTATCAGTTCTTCAATCAATTTTATCAGTTCTATCAATCCAATTTTACCATTCTATCAACCCAATTTTATCAGTTCTATCAATCCAATTTTATCAGTTCTATCAATCCAATTTTATCAGTTCTTTCAATCCAATTTTATCAGTTCTATCAATCCAATTTTACCAGTTCTATCAACCCAATTTTATCAGTTCTATCAATCCAATTTTATCAGTTCTATCAATCCAATTTTATCAGTTCTTTCAATCCAATTTTATCAGTTCTATCAATCCAATTTTACCAGTTCTTTCAATCCAATTTTACCAGTTCTATCAACCCAATTTTATCAGTTCTATCAATCCAATTTTACCATTCTATCAATCCAATTTTATCAGTTCTATCAATCCAATTTCATCAGTTCTATCAATCCAATTTTACCAGTTCTATCAATCCAATTTTATCAGTTCTATCAATCCAATTTCATCAGTTCTATCAATCCAATTTTACCAGTTCTATCAATCCAATTTTACCAGTTCTATCAATCCAATTTTACCAGTTCTATCAATCCAATTTTACCAGTTCTATCAATCCAATTTTACCAGTTCTATCAACCCAATTTTATCAGTTCTATCAATCCAATTTCATCAGTTCTATCAATCCAATTTTACCAGTTCTATCAATCCAATTTTATCAGTTCTATCAATCCAATTTTATCAGTTCTATCAATCCAATTTCATCAGTTCTATCAATCCAA